CACACACACACACACACACACACATGCACTCATTTTAAATAGAGCTTTTTAATAATCTGAAATGGGTAAGTTACTGACAGAAGATTTATTATACAGTATTTTGTTGAATATTGATTGTAAATCTGGATGTCTGAAGCTGCTGAATTGTGTGTGTGAATGCGCTGACCTCTCTGTGACCTACTGACATCAGATCAGATCAGAGAGACGCTGCCACCTGCTGCCACACACTGAGCATCACTGCGTCTGACACTGCTGCTCACGAAACGACTCGCTTCACTGCACTGTTTTGTTGACAACGTGTTGTTGTCATCATGTTGTGTTGTGATCATTTTGTCAAAGTTACGACATTCATTGTGCGATTTGAAGATGCTGTGTTGTGATCCCTTCATTTAAATGATTCTTTCAAAGAAGCCAAATTATTTGCAAAACACCACTAATTATATCTTCATATTATAATATATGACTACTCTAACTGAAATGAAGTATTCAGTTATAATACGTAATGTTAAAATCCCATTAAGAGAAGTCAGTACCCTCAAAGAGGAAAACTTGTGTCTACAGATTAATTTTGAGATGTATTATGTAAATTATTAATATTATATATTATTAATAACAGATTATTCAAACTTTTGTAATGTCACAGGAATGAGGCATAAGATGATATAACACTGTGCCTAAGTGCTGCTTTATATATTCTTAATTGATCTGAATAAAAATTGTATTTTATTAATCATTTTCATTTATGATAATCCCAGGTTTCTATGGTAACAGGGTTTTTTATACACTAAATTCATGGCCATGAGAAAATGTATTGTGGCCTAAAAATATATCATTAATAATTTAATAATATAATACACTAATAATTTAAACGTTGTCACAGGAACAAGGTTTAATATAATATAATGTAATGTCATATAATATAATATATAGTGTTTTTATGGTAATGCAGGGTTTTTTACTCATTAAATTCGTGGCCACAAGAAAATGCACTATAGCAAAAAATATACAGTGGGCACGGAAAGTATTCAGACCCCCTTAAATTTTTCACTCTTTGTTATATTGCAGCCATTTGCTAAAATCATTTAAGTTAATTTTTTTTCCTCATTAATGTACACACAGCACCCCATATTGACAGAAAAACACAGAATTGTTGACATTTTTGCAGATTTATTAAAAAAGAAAAACTGAAATATCACATGGTCCTAAGTATTCAGACCCTTTGCTCAGTATTTAGTAGAAGCACCCTTTTGATCGAATACAGCCATGAGTCTTTTTGGGAAAGAGGCAACAAGTTTTTCACACCTGGATTTGAGGATCCTCTGCCAATCGAATATATAGTTATAGCAAATTATTAAAACATTTGAATTATGCCATGGGAACAAGATATAATATAATATATTATAATATACATGTAGCCTTATCTTAACGCAACACTGTCATTCTTAATTCTAAATAAAATGTTATTTTATTAATTATCTAATCCCAGGTTTCTATGGTGATGCAGGTTTGTTTACTTATTAAAATCATGTTGTTCCTGCATCAGGATCTCAAGACCATGACATCACATCATTTTCCTCAACACAATGATCTCATGGACTCAGTGTCTTGTAGTGAAATGTCATGTGATCACATTCCCATGAGTCCTTGTGCCGTGGCCACAACAAAGCTGAAGCGAAGCGTGGCGTCTCTTTCGTCTGAGATTTCTCTGCTGATTGTGATGTTGTCGTGTAACAGCAGAGTGGTGTGTGTGTGTGTGAGCGCATGGCTCATATGCGTGTGTTCAGCAGCATGCATGTCGTTCTCTCCAGTGCCGCTCGTGTGTGTGTGTGTCTGTCGGAGTGTCTGTCTTGAGTGTGTGTCTGTCTTGAGTGTGTGTCTGTCTGTGTGTGTGTGTGTCTGTGTGTGAGTGTGAGTGAGTATGTGTGTGAGTCTGTGTGTGTGTGTGTGTATGTGTGTGTGTCTGTCTTGAGTGTGTGTCTGTCTGTGTGTGTGTGTGTCTGTGTGTGAGTGTGAGTGAGTATGTGTGTGAGTCTGTGTGTGTGTGTGTGTGTGTGTGTGTGAGCGCATGGCTCATATGCGTGTGTTCAGCAGCATGCATGTGGTTCTCTCCAGTGCCGCTCGTGTGTGAGTGAGTGTGTGTGTCTGTCGATGTGTCTGCGTCTTGAGTGTGTGTGTGTGTGTGTGTGTGTGTGTGTGTGTGTGTGTGTGTCTGTCTGTGTGTGAGTGTGTGTGTGTGTGTGTGTGTGTGTGTGTGTAATGTGTTTAACTGACCCCTGTCCATTTTACATGCTGTCTCCCTTTAATGGCCTCCCGCATGTAAGTAACTAATCATGTCAATCTCCTTTTGCTTAAGTAATGGTTGTTGTGTTTTTACTTATGTTACCCATGTCAAGCAGGCAACTAGTAAAGGAAGTTCAGTGTTTTTGTGCGATCTGTTGTTGAAATTAGTCGGTGATTGACAGTGTTGTGTTGCCGTGGAGCTTCAGTCACTTCCTGTGAGGGCTGTAGAACTTCCACAGTCACGTCTTATTGAAAAGCACTGATGACTTACGATGAGTTATGGCAAGTACTAATCAAGAGCTTAAACTACGACACGAGTCATATGAATCCATCTGTGATTAGTACAAGCCATAGCTCATCACTAGTTCATATTACAGTAATACTTTCACGACAAACTCGCACTGAAACACGCATCTCATTGCTCTGAGACACATGATAAATCAAACCACTCTCAAAATATCAGACGTGTTTAATATCGTCCGACTGGATGGAATCAGATTCTGTGTCCATCACACCTTACATGATTTTCTGTGAAATCCAGCAACTCAAATCTGAAGACTGTTCTGTAGATCAGGACGGGAGTGTTGTAGTGTTTTCCAGCTTTACAGGAGCAGGTCACCCTCACTAGTGAACTGTCTTCATTTACTCGCCCTCGTGTCGCTCTGAAGCCGTGTGAGCACAGATGGGATGTTCAGCAGAATGTTCCTGCTCATCTGAAGCCGTATGATAGTTTGGTGATGTATGTACGATTAATCTGCTGTGAAAGAGCAGCATGAACATTCTGCTAAACGTCTCATTTCATGTTCCACAAGGTCGAGTCAGTGAATCTCTCTTAGTTGAAGCATTAATATATCTCACACCTCATGTCTTTAATTAAAAGACATCTTAAAGCAAACCCAGAGTTCATCTCACCAGCTCTCATCACATCTGAATGACATCACTTCCTGTTTCCTGCTGATTGACACTAACGCCAGTCACACAGTCCAGTGTCACTGATCCAGGTCTCTCGTTCCTCCAGTCTTCGACCAACTAGATCTGGTGACGTATGAAGAGGTGGTGAAGCTGCCGGGGTTCAAGAGGAAAACGCTGGTGCTGCTGGGTAAGAGCTCTGATGCGGTCAGGTCTGTTTCAGCTGTGAATCAGTCATTAATCAGCTCAGTTCAGTAACCGCGGCACTGATTCCTGTGTCTGCAGGAGCTCATGGCGTCGGCCGAAGACACATCAAGAACACTCTCATCGCAAAACATCCCGACAGATTCGCATATCCCATCCCACGTAAGAGACGCGCGTCACGCCTGATGCAGCTCGCCATGAACCGCCTGTCCACTGACCGCGCTCTCTCGCTCTCTCTCTCGTTCTCTTTCTCACACTCTCTCTCACACAAACACACACACACGCGCACGCACTCTCTCACACACACACTGTCTCTCTCTCTCTCGCTCTCTCTCTCGTTCTCTTTCTCACACTCTCTCTCACACACACGCACGCACTCTCTCACACAAACACACACACGCACACACACTCTCTCACACACACACACACTGTGTCTCTCTCTCTCTCTCTCTCTCTCTCTCTCTCACACACACACACACACTCTCTCACACACATACACACACACACTCTCTCTCACACAAACACACACACACGCGCACGCACTCTCTCACACACACACACTGTGTCTCTCTCTCTCTCTCTCTCTCACACACACACACACACTCTCTCACACACATACACACACACACACTCGCTCACACACACACACACACCCTATCTCACACACACACACACTCTCCCCCCCTCTCTCTCTCAATTCAATATATGCTTTATTGGCATGACAATTGTTACAATGTATTGCCAAAGCATAGTGTTTACATTGAATCTAATATATATATATATATATATATATAAATAATATAACAATAAATAATAAAAAAAACTGCATGCATGTGTATATATAATTAAAACAGAACAAATCAAGATTTATTATTCTATGAACAATTTCTCTCTCTCTCTCTCTCTCCGACAGACACCACCAGACCTCCGAAGAAGGACGAGGAGAACGGCAAGAACTACTTCTTTGTGTCACATGACCAGATGATGCAGGACATCTCCAACAACGATTACCTGGAGTACGGCAGCCACGAGGACGCCATGTACGGCACGCGCCTCGAGACCATCCGCCAGATCCACGAGCAGGGCATGGTGGTCATCCTGGACGTGGAGCCGCAGGTACGGACGCATCCTCTCTCTCTCTCTCTCTCTCTCTCTCTCTCTCTCTCTCT